GAATAAACAACGCAGCCACTCACCTCGAATTCGACTTGTGCTAACCCAGACCAAGTCGTACTTCGCTGATTCATAGCCCGGGAGGAGATTGTTAACCATTGGGTTGATAACGTTGCCACTCCCTCCTGCAAATACAACGTACTGCAGTTTAACAAGATTCGTGCAATAGTTTTAAATAACCGAAGCAGTCTTGATATTTGTTTGAATTTTTAAGCTTAATTGCTTATCACGGGGTGTAATCATAAACAGAAACATTTTCCGGCTCTAGTAGTACCCTAGATTCCCTATCTTATGAAGTGTCAACCAAACTTCTGAAATGTGTTTTCTATTCAAACACATTGTTTTAGTATGGTTGTAAGATTGATTAGTCTAATCTCAAGGTATTTCAGTTGCGACAGAATGCCGGCTTTTGAAGGAAGTGCATTACACATGCCTGCAAAAAAATACTCTATAAGAAATGGCTTCTTGAGTAGTATGCATTTTCCTCAATGATTTTCGATGCCACTATAAATTCAGATATATTTTATAGAAAACTTTACCAAAATATCATTCTTTGGTAGGAGGTTACGCTATCTTTTAATGCTATACTTGAAGAAAGCTTATTTTTTGTTTTTAAAACGTTTATTATTCGGAGATTTTTTACGGCTGTGCAATGTTCATTCATAATACATTGTATCTGTCAATTTATTAATGTTGCCTTTGAAGTATAAAATATGATCCACATTCATTGCAAAACTTTATGAAAACCATGTGAATCCCCTTTCATGCAGCATGTAATTTGGTGACCTTGGGTTCGAGTGCAACGGCCGGTAGTGTTTAAAAATATTCGGCAATTTAGAAAGATTTTTAAACCGAAAGGCACCCTTGTTTCAAGTATAAAATGTGAAGAGGGAGTGAGCCCCAACCACACGGCTGTAAGAAAGCAAATGCTAGTGCATGTCTTTTAATAAGATATATTTGAATTTAAGACGACATCGAAAATCAATGAGAACAGTGCATAGCAATCGAGTAGCAGCTATTTTTACAGAGTATGCTTTTTGCATGCTGTTAGAAGGAAGTTTATTCAACAGCCGGCATCTTGAAGTGACTGAAATATATTGATGGTAGGCCTGCATATTAATAAGTGTAACAACCGTACTCAAGCAATTTGTTCGAATCGAACCCGGTGCTAGTTGCATCAACCCAGGTTTTAAGAAAGATTTCTACTTCAATGGTCGAAAATATGCGAGGCCCAGGTAATCGCATAGAAGGCGGAAGAACGTTCTCTGGGACCAATATTTTATTTGCCCGACGTTTCGGACTCTCACTCGAGACCATTGTCAAGGAATGAAAACGTACAACTCATTGCGTGATTAAATCAGCTCTGCCGGGAGTGACCTTGAGTTCCCATTGTTCGCTCCGTCGCGAGTAACCTTGAGCCTTCTACTTAAGGGCTAAAATGCATTGGTTACCCTGTAACTAACCATCTGTCCGATTGCCAAATTCCTTCACTACGTATGTACAGAATGTACTATTCCTCCCATCTGGCATCCCACTACTTCAAAAGCGGGCATCCTAAGTGACTTTAGCTTAGGCTGTACGATAGTCATTATAGCAACCCTACTTAAGTAGTTTGTTCCTGTCGAACCTCGGTTGGCATTTCAAGGAATCTAGACCTGGAAGGCACAACAGCTGAGGGCTTGTTCTCTGTGTGGGCCATCAGAATCGCGACGACAGTGTCTAGGAGTTTATCCCCATAATGGCACTAGAAAGTGGTCACAGAGCTGT